AGGAAGGAAGGAGGGAAGGAAGGAAGGAAGGAAGGAAGGAGGGAAGTTTTATGGAAAAGGATCTTGGAGATAATCTCTTGCAATTCCTTCTGCAGTTCAGGAATCCGCTACAACTTCCCCCCTCACAGTAATCTTTTGGAAATCACCCTCCAACAGAATAGGAAAATCCCATGTAATCAGCCTGGCTCCTGATTGTTTTATTCAGTGACACAGTTTGAAGTGCTGAATGAATAGCTCTTATTCTTCTGACTGCACTTGAGAAGAAAACTGTAATTTGTGTTTGGTCCTGAAGAACAGGCTTTAAAAGTGTTTAATTTGGTTGGGTCATACTGAACCTGAGACTGACACATGCCTTTACCTAAATTCCTATCTGATTTTAAAAGCATAGATTTAAAGTCTAAAATGAAGGACTCACAAAACTATTTACTTGAAATCAAAATACTTTTAGTGGAAATTAATGGGATTTAAAGAGCTCAATTAGGCTGCAATCCTATATAAAAATTTACTAAGCACATTTTTTAAAGATTTACCCAGAACTGCATTCTGTATTATGACAATTTAAAAAAAAATCCATCTGAAATACCTTTCAGAACACAGATGTTAATACAGTGCTTTTATAATGAAAGAAGTATCATTTCCCCTAAACTATAGGTTGTTTTTTTTTTAATCTATAGGGATAAAAACTCATATACTTATTCTCTTCTGAAATTCTGTATCTTCGTTTAGGCTAAATGACATATAACTGGTTCTTTACAGAAAAGCATTGATGAACTGCTCGGAATGGTAAATTATGCAGCGAAAGTGTATTCTGGGCCATTTAAACACACTTTCTTGAAAATTATCCTTGTGACGTGACAATTAATTTTCATGAGCCAGGACCTTATTCCTTATGATTCCATCTTCCATGGGTCAGCCTTGGAAACACTTCCTTCAATAATGCCTTTCTATTTCATGTAATTCATTGCTGCCCATTTTCTCCAGACTTATTAATCTATTTTTAATGCCTCTTAATCATTCTGCTCTATCTTGGTCTTACTGCTACAGTCTATTTATGCCTTATTGAACTGTACAGACCAGCCCATTTTTCCTTATTTTCTTTTTTATATCATCTTTGTGTTTCAACTAATTTCTCAGTCTTGCTAAGCTTCAGTCTTAAAATTAAATAAAAGAAAAAGAAGAAAACCATGAAACTACTTATTATCTTGATTTAGAACAACTTAAAATTAAGCTACTGTCAATGTAGAATAATTGCCAACTGAAACAGCAAATTTCAAAAGTAGCATTGGATTCGTTTTCCATCTCTTCATTCTTAGCACACCCTGTGATTTTCAGTTGTTTCTAGAATTCTAAAGAATTTATCCAGATTTTATGGTCTTGGCCTAACAAGTATCATTATGAGGAACACAAAATCAGGCTCATTACTTAAGGCTAATGTCAGCAGTGTTGCATTTCACATTGCTGGCTTGGGATTTAGGATTGTAAAAGCAATGAGCTCTTCATGGATAGAAGTTATCAAAACTGGCTATATTTTCACAGCTTTTTGAATGATAAAAGGACCCATAAAAGACTGTCCTCACTGAGCAGAAAAACATACATAAAATGAAAGGGAAAAAAACACACACATCAGAATGCTCCCAGGCAAGATATTTCTCATCACTGCCCTGGGGTACCAAAATGTGATAAGGGAAGCAATTTTCAACTATATTTCCATATAGTTTTCTTGCCCTTTGAAAGAGATGGGTTGATTAATACACTATATTGCTTAACTGCAAGTGAAAGCCAACAGTTTAAAATCATTAAAGCATGCTGGCTGGGGAATTCTGGGACTTGACGTCCACACACCTTAAAGTCGCCAAGGTTAAGAAACACTGCCAAAGAGAATCAAGGCAGGGCAGTCTTGAGCTTCTTTCTCAGTCCCTCCTCTCTCTCTTACGGTTAAGTTGGTGTTTATATTACTGCCCTTACATTCCTTCTACAAAAAAATCTTCATATTTCTCTACAGGATGGAATGAAGGTTATAGTTATTATCTTTGTATCTCTAACATATTTCATGAATTCTTGAATACTATTATCCCATGTTCACCTTTGAGAATTTGGCAAATCAAAAATGTTGAAGTACAAAGTAGTAAAAAATTTTCCAAGAACTTGGTGAACCCCCCTCCATTTTTTTTTCCAATCTTGATAATGGGAATTAGTGCCAACAGCAGCCAATTTAAAGGCAACGTGAGGACAAAGCCACTTACTTTACTGCAAAGGCGACTACCATTTTTGGTGCCTGCTGAGTAACACTCACAGGATTTACAAACATCCAGAGCTGAGAGATCTGCATGTACATGCTGATAGAAGAAATCATTACACAACTCACAGTTTCTTCCTGCAAAAAGAAAAGGTTATGCAATGTAGCTTCCAATTCATGAAAATTAGCTGTATAATTCAAAATTAAAGACTATTCCCTTGAGAGAATTATATAATTTTCAGGACGTCCATTTTAATGCACCTTTCATCTCTACCTGCCAATTTAGTGATCCAGAGCATATGAAACAATGAACCTGTTACAAACTGTGTTTTACTCCATTAAACTTCCATCTGTTACATAACATGACACTCCTATGAAGCTAGGCTGTATGATACCTATTCTTTAAAATAGGAAGTTGTTCTTAAACTTCAAACTTTCCAATCTGCTCCTAAGAACAAAAGCCAGGAGTACTGAAAGCTCCAAAAATTATCATGAGTCAGCATGCAAAATGATAATTTCAGCAAGTATATGTTTGTGTTTTATAAATGTTCAGTATGAAACAAAATCAGAATCAAATTGTATGAAATGACAGGACTCTATTGGACTTACACATTTAAAACAATGTTTCTCAACCTTGGCCACTTGAAGATGTGAGGACTTCAACTTCCAGAATTCCCCAGCCAGCATGGGGAGTTGAAGTCCACACATCTTCAAGTGGCCAAGGTTGAGAAACGCTGTTTTAAAATAATTCACAGTATCACAGTCACTTGTGCAACTTCAAGGATCCTTTCACATGAAGAATATTAGGCCAGAACATGTTAGAAACCAACAAATCTGCCTTATTCTGAAAAAGCAGAAGAGTGAGTTTGTTCTGGTAGAATTTGTATTGGTTGGGAGCAGTTGATGTGAGTTACAGATTGCAATCTTTCGCAATAGTACACTGAGATACTGAATTTAGTTTTCAGACCCTGAAAACGTTTGCAAAACCATAGTGCTTATTTTTATATGACACAGAGCTGCAGTACATCCCTAAATTAATCCCTAATCTCATCTAGTTATTCCAATATAATTTAGTTTGGTTCTGTGTTTTTTGAAGACTTGTCATCAGAACTGATACGTCAGAGCAGCAAGGTCCTATTAAAAGAAGATCCTTGGGGAAAATCACAAATATCATAACATGTTGTGCTTTCTCCTTTATTGCAATGGGCATTGCCTTCTTTAAAGTGGCTCCACCTGATTCAAAGCAAATTATGCCAGAAAGCAATGCATATTGTATTATGATGACTTCCCATAGCAGCTCTGTGTGCCTTATTTCCTTGGCAACTGTTCTACTGTGACATGAGTCATATTACAGTTCATTGTTTTTTCCATCTATGATGCTCTAACTGAAAGAATTCTTCAGATTTCAAATAGCCAATTCAGTGCTGGAATTCAATCTGGGATTTTATTTGTGCAAAACATTCATTCTGTGGCCCTTCCCTATAACATGTACTGTATAATATGACAGGTACATCGGTCTTTCAACGTGATCACATACATTATGAATAATGCGCGTACCTAAAACATGTATAGGAGCTAGGGATACAGGCTCCGTCTTATTTTGTACAATGACACTTCCAACAGACTTACCTCTTTCTAGTGCATAATTTTTACTTCTTTCTATAATGCATGGATTTACACAATAAATAATTTCCTTGGGTGGGGGGAGGGGAAAGCATTCACATTAGAGAATTATACATTTTAGATCTCCATCTCAAACTAACGGCACTTTGGAAGAGCCAGCTACGAAACATGCGCATATGCCTGTGCAAATGTATGTGCATTCCATTTGGTTGTGATAATTACCTGAGGTGTTATGCTGACAATTGTCACAGACTCCACCACCACCTCTATAGTATTCATTAGGAAAATAATCCATTGTCCTATTGTAGTGACAGCTTATGGCATGGCCAAAACATTGACAAGGCTTGCAATTATAAGCATGAACTTGATCTCCTGGATGGAAAGGCTTGTCATTGTGCAGTGGCTGACAGCGATCACACTGGAATAAATAGAGAATTAGTCAGATTAAAATAATTTGTTCTCTACAAATTATTCACTGAGTATTGTATTCTTAATCCTGCAATACTGCATCATGGCATTTTGGACTAGACAAATTTTGAATCCATAAACCTGTATAAAACTTTTGTCCTAATTTAAGTATTTCAGATAACAAGAAAACTAGATATTTTTAAAATTTAAACAAGGGCCTTTATTTACTTTATCACAGAACAATATCACAAACATTATGAGACAGAAGTCTTGAAATACTTCAGGGACAAGTGGCCTGACCTTCTATTTCAAGTTTTAGTTATTTGATTAGTTCTGTTATGCATACATCTTCCATAATATTCTATAATATGTTTATGGAAATGTATTCTTGAAAGGAGTTTATCTTATTTGCAATTATCAGCATTTTTCTTATTTGTGGCTCTCAATAGCAGAACTACATTTGGGTGAAACAATCTCAGCCACCAAGCCATCTAAATGCTAAAGCAGAGGAGTACTTGAAAAGTAACTGTGTTTGCCTAGAATTCTGAAACAGATGGAATGCGTTGTAAGATGTCTCACTGCTGCTGTTTGAATATTCAATGTTTGTATAATTATTTTTTTAAATGTTCAGGGCAGATGACTTCCCTGCCTGGCTCTCAGTATCTAGTAATTATTACCACAATAATGCCTCTGTGGTACAACAGTTTCCTTTCCTTTCTTCTCCTTCACACATGCACACAGTTGGAGCCTCAACCTGTGAGTTTCATGGCAAATCATGAGACTCAGTATACAGGATTGTGTATACACATTCTTCTCATGCCCCATAACAGTTTGCTGTCATGACAGAATGCATGTGTACTCTGCACAGATATACATGCAAATGCATGCACACTGAGAGACAAACATCTTAACCACTCACAGACACTGGCTGTCTCCACTGTAATTAAGAAGAGGAAATGTTACTTATTGCAGAAGAGACAGACTATGGTCAGCATACCTACCAAGCAGTTGTTTATTAAGTCAGAAGGAGCACAACCAACCTAGAAATGGGATTGTTCAGGTGGGGATTAAAGTTTCCCTCCCCCAGTCTTGATTAAAATGGCTTTTTCAGTAGACAAACATCAATGTGAAACAGAAATCTCAGTTGTATAACTGTGGAGAAATGCTATTTTCCCCATCCATTACCTTGATAATATTCTTGGAGAGGAGCTTTACCTTTGCTCCCTCCTGACCTCAAGATTAGGTTGTCCAAGTATAGAGATGTATCTGAAACTAAATGTAGCAGTACACAGGATTCTGAAAGCTTCACAGAGAATAACCAAGAATTACCAATCTGTGCTTTAATAGGGTATGCGTGGAACAAATAAGGCAGTAAGAACTTAACTAATAAACCACAACTTCACCGTTCTGTTGGTTTGTAGACACTTGGGAGTGTCATGAGACTAAACTCAGCATTCTCTTCCAACAACTGTTCGGAATTTTGTTTGTTTTAAAAAGTCTCCATATATTTATAGTCCTCACATATATTATAGTCCTCAGTTATTGCAAGTTGGGGGGGAAAAAACAACAACAAGCAGCATCTTGTTTGCACATATAGTTTTGAAAGAATCCAAATTAACTAAGGATCATTGTATGAGATTTATCGAATTGCTATGATTAAATTTAACAGCATTTGGACAGAGTGAACTATTCTAAAAGTCAAAACTACTAGAATTAATTTATGTACACAGGGCTTGAAATTCATATTTAATTCCCCCAGGGCCATGGATCCAGACAGGCATTTTAAATAATACGGAAGGAAGTGTTCCAGTTAGTCATTACGCAGACTGAAGTCAGCTATACAGAATACTAGTATATTTATTTGGTCACTGTACTTTTCACTAGCCTATATAGGAGACTCTTTAATTTCCTGTCACTATTTTAGCTTGCTCATCTTGAGATAACTCTGACAACTTCAATTTTAATTGGCTGTTTGAAATGAAGATCTCATGGATTTTCATCAGCTGTGCAAAGTAAATTGTATTCCTGTGGGATAACAACCAAATTTTTTGCTAATGCAATGGCTCCTTCACAATTCTGTGCTCTAGCAGATTGTCTGGGCATCTGGTCTTTCGATATTCGAGACAGCACCTTGCTATTTCAATAAATACTTTCCACAAATTATTTTAGAAATCTTGGATCTATGGCCTGTGAAATTAAATCAGTTTGCCAAGGATGAGTTCATGGACAAACCCATCACTATCACAAAAATCTTGAAAAAAAAATATTCAAAAATTTTCAGCTGCTATGACCCAGATTGCTTTTCCCCTTTGCTGTATTTCAGAACTGGGTTGGACAATCCATTTAGGGATATTTATTTTCATTCATGCATACTTTTGTTTTGTCAACCAAGTCTAAAGCATTTTGTTTTATTCAGTATCCTTTGGAAAAGATACACCTACATACTGTATTGCCAGAAAGAAAAATTAACTTTTAAAATTAACTTTAAAAGCTTTTACATGAATACAGTATTCTTGCATGAATATAAAGCTCACATTAAATTGTTAGGCTAAGCAGTTTTTGCTATTTTACAAAAAATAGCTAGTTTATTAATAAACAGTTAAATTATGCATGTCACAGTATCTATGGTTATGTAACAGATGTATCAGAAGGTGCAGATATGGAAACAGAAATTAAATAGTCCCATTAATGGTAGCATGGATATAGAAACAATCTGAGCATGCTACTCTGAATTTGGTCTTGGAAGGACTATGTCTGTTATCTGGCGGTTCTGCATACAGCAAGCTGAGGCCATGGCCACAAGACCTTTTGCCTAGCTTCACTGGATGTACCAGTTACAAGTTTTCTTGAAATGTGATGCCTGGGTGATTGTCACTCATGCCTTTATGACCTGATGTTTGGATTACTGTAATGCATTCAGTTTGGGTCTGCCTTTGAAGACTACTCAAAAACTCCAGTTGTAGCAACCTATTTGCTGGTGGGACAGCCATTTCAGCAGGATAATACTACACTGCGTGCACTGTATTGGCTGCCAGTATGTTTCCAGGTACTCTTCAAAATGCTGATAAGACCTATAAAGCCTCTTATAGTTCATATGCTTGGTATCTGCAAGACCATCTTCTCTGAGTAGAGCACAGATTGAGATGTTATGTTGAAGATTCTTCCTAAGGGAGGTCAGGGAGATAGGGATTCAAAAATAAGCCTTTTCACTGTCTGCCCCAGTCTAATGGAACAGTTTGCCCCCCCCCACACACACATACATACACACCATGGTCAGGATTGCTCCCTCACTGTTGAGATGGTGTGCTGAGCCTTTGGGACAGGTGCCAATTATTTATGTCTGCTTTTATTTTGTACAATTTAATTTTATTTAATGGATTAGTTTTACTGATCATATTAATCTATATACATTTATGACTTATATATATGCTAAATACCCCCACACAGAGACATACGTTCAGGAACATAGATAAGAAATCATTCAACTCCAAAACCTCAAAAGTATACTACATATTACTAAAACGGTTAGCAAATGGATTGAAATGTGTAAGCTGCAATTTGCAATGAATATAATGTATTTTGTTTTTATTACTGGGACCACAACTGCATGCAAGAAAAGCATTCTTTTTCTTACTATGAAAGAAGGATTATTTAAGCCTTTTAAGTATAGCCACAGTAGATTAAGAGTGATTAGAATTGCAATAGCTGTGGAAATCACCAAAAGAATGACTCCAAACAGAAAATGATAGGGCATTAATTTAGCTTGTTTTCACACAGAATCACAGGTCTCGAAAGAGTACTTGGTGAACTCCAGATCATATTAAATATTTATAATTAACCCCCATAAAGTGCCACTTCACGATACTTGTTCTAATTAAAAAGACAGCATCAACTTGCATTTCTAAAGGACTTACTGTAGAAAACTTCATTTTTGTGATGGACCATCATTCTAGTAACTTTTTACTAGTTAGAAGGATCAAGCTGATTTTTAAAAGTTTTTATCAAGTCTCTCGCAGGCTAATATAAAACACTTCAAGCCAAAAACTTGTAATAACTTCCTTCAATCTTTTCTGCATGTACACCTGCAAGCTTTTCACTCCTTTTTCAAAATCTTTGGTGTAATTATCCTGTTAAATGCCCTCTCACCAATGGAATTGTGTGACCATTATACTGGAATAGTGTGACCAAGTTGCTAAAAGCTGGTCACAATGTGTGACAAAGTCTAAAAATGGAATATGAAATTAGGTTTCCCAAGCTTAAAAAGGTAGATGCTTTTTCTACAAAAATATCACTGTATTGCGTTTTGGCACTTCCAACACATTGGAAAGGTGGCAACTTATGCCTCACCAAAAAGAGGACAAAAAGATTCACAAATCTGAATATATTCTAGTGTACATGTCTATAAATATTTAGAAAGAATTGTTATGATTTAAATAGGACCACAACATGTCTCAAGATGGAGAAGACTATAGTCTGTTGGCTTAAGCCAGTGTTTCTCAACCTTAGCAACTTTGAGATGGGTGGACTTCAACTCCCAGAATTCCCCAGCCAGCCAGTTGAAGTCCACCCATCTCAAAGTTGCTAAGGTTGAGAAACACTGGGTTAAACTGCAGCTGCTGTTGAAGCATGGCTCCAAGGCCCATGGAGGTCTCTCTTCCTATGGTTACTTACTTGAATTGGCCAGTCCTTGGAGTGGGGGGGAAAAACATCCCCTGAAGGCTGATTGTAACAGAGGACTATTCTTTGTCAACCAAAGAAAATAAAACTATTCTATATAACCAAATTATGTAACGCAATGCAACAGGTAATATATATTAAGGACTCCCAGTTTTTGGGCCCACAGATACATGTTTATGAAGTATAGTGTCATAACTACCTTTACCTGAACTAATCTGGCAATCCACCAAATCTGAGAACCACTCCCAAATATAAACAATTGTTATCTTTCTCCCCACCTACCACAAACTGTGCAGGCAATACCTTTGCATAGAGAACTAAGCAGCTCCTCAA